AGTATGATACATGCAAGAGAACCTCCAGGGCTTGCTACAGAGATCAGTCCAATGACCCCCATGGATAATGCTCCTTCTGGAGTATTGTGCGAGTGTTGTTCCATATAGACATGGCAAAGCCGAGCTCCAATCCCTGTAAAGCAGTGGTTTTAACCACACTGGCCTTCTGTATATTATATTCTATCACGTCTGTTGATGTATTCATTTGTTCCTGGCTGGAGCTGTGTGCTTGGTACTTTTACATTTGCATTTATTCATCACAGTTTTAATACACTACAGTAGTGTACACATAAAAGTCAAACATGATATCCTTCAAGGATAGTGTACATTTGTACATTAAATTGTTTGCAATAAATTTAATACAACATCAAATATGAATATGATTTTGATCTAGCCTTTTTTTCCATTTTTTTGTTTCTTATGCAAGGTGGCATTATATTTTATGTAACTGTATTTTAAACAAACGTATTATTGTATATTAACTTAATACATGGTTCAGAAACCAATACTGTACATAATAAACAATGTATAAGATTGTAGTTTTGTTAGACTGTTCGTTTGTCCAGAGCGGATAATATTGCCTTTGTAGTTGACTTGTGCATAGGCAAATGGCAGGCGTGCTTTCATTAATGTTCTTAGGTCATGGGAACAAGATAGACCACAGTTTGTTGTTTAGAACCACGATAAACAGAGCTGAAATTTGTTTCTGATGCATTACTTTCATGTTAATTTTTGTTTGAGCCATTTCAGGTTATATTATACATATTTTTTGTTCGTTTTGTACTTTTACATATATCAACCAGCAGGTGGTGTCACTTTAGTTTAACATACATACTCAATGCTAGAGCAGGTTCATGAATTCACCTTCAGTGTGCTGTTCTGCTTAGTCTTGTTGAAGACTGCCAGTGACCACTGCCATGACACATTCTAATTGTAATGAGTCAATTAATGTGCATCACGACTATATTATATCGGTATTAAGTTTTTTGAACGATACTTGTTACATGCTTGTACCACATGCTGGCCACATATCAGTTTTCTTGTTTTTGTACTTTTATCGTGGTGTAACGTTTTCATACGGAATACATTTGCACAACACTGGAACAGCAAAAGGATGAAGTCTGAAAAGAACACGAATCTTCTTTTTTTTTACAAGTTTATTTTATGCAAGCACACATCACCCATTAAATCCTCACAGTAACAACACTCATCACCTGTTTCTAAGAGTAGATCAACTGTCATGTATAGCATGCATGTTATTCTACTTCCCTCGAACACTTGACGATATAATTGAGTACAAGTAAACATTTTTTCTCAAGAGGCGGAGTTCTCTACTCTAATGGTGTTGGCACAGGTGTATACAGGTAACCATGATATAGAGCTTGATCAAAATGCTTGCCTTTTATGTACACATGTCCCAATTAACTCAAGTAAGTTTATATTATTATACGTTAGTTGTATTTTGTCAATGATTTGACTGTTGATGAAGCTTTACGAGGTGTTTGGATTACTGTTTTTGGAGAGGAAAGGTAGAGGTTCAGTAGGTTAGGGTAGGTAGGTTAGTGAAGGTTTTGCTGTTACAGTTGAGCTTCCTTAAAGTGTCGTTAGATACACCACAACTGTCCGTTAGGTGAGGCAAATGTTGCAACCAGAAAAAAAGAGAAAGGAAAGAAATCAGGAAGAGGGGGGGGGGGTGTTTTTGTCCCAGTCACTGTTTGAAATTCCAGCCCCTGCACCAGTCCCACAGTTCATGCCTTAACATAGGAAGCAGAAGTGCAGCACAGCAAGACAAGATTTAATGTAGCTTTTATTTATTATAGATTTGTTTTCATTGTATGTTAAGTGATCTTGTCCCATAAGATCATGTTAATGCTCTGTTATACCAAAGCAACCCACAGCGTACAGTAAAACTGAAAAAGTAAAATATCTATGCCTGTTTCTAGCTGTTGAAAGATAACTTTACCATTTTACCTAAAATCAAGGTTGATGACACATTTAGGATCATGTGAGATAGAAACTATGAATGTGGTCATTTTTTCTTTTCCCGAATTACTACTGAGTAAGTTTGATACAAAAACATTTTTGCATTCAACACACAAACCGCTCTATGGAACTGTTTTGTCAGATGATCTGTATGCAATGATTTTAGCACACACGTCACATATATTCACCATAGTCATGTGTTAATAAAGGTTAATCAGTCTGTTAGTAAATTAACCATTCATAATGTGTGCAACTAAAAAATCCACTGTTACTTAAGGATGCCACATCTTGAAGTATACAATGTTTCATTTAATACTCCAGTAGATCATAAAACACAAGGTCACATTGCATTTTTTAAAGCATATGGTGCACTGACTGTTAAAGCTAAGAATACGTCCCATGTATTACAGTAACTATTTCCTGTTGATAACACTTGATTGCACTAAGGAACAAATGCAAAAAGTTCTTGAGGGTGTAACAAAAGAAGGAACTATTATTACAGTTTGTATTTTAGCTCCTCACCTGGTTGGCTGTGTTTTGTTTGGGGTTACTATCTGGCAAAAGAGTTTGTTACATGAGTTCCAGGAATGTTTTACACTGCAGGCATGACATTTTTATAAATTTAGTTTTTCAGTTTATGAGAGAGGATTAAGTGATTTGGTGGAGAGGAGTTATAAGTATGCTGTTGAGTACTGAAAAGTACATTTTGTCTGTAGTCTTTCTACAGCTCATGTTACCAAGGGAATGTGATTTATAGAATACAAGTCCTACTGTCTGAAGGAGACATTTGATCAATAAGTAAAAACAGGTTACATAGGATTTGTTTACACATGATATGTGGTTTCTTAGATGGATAGCTCTAACTTGCTTTTTTGCAGAATGAACACAGTTACGGTTGTAGAAACACATTCTGCTCAGGGAGACTGATGGTGTCAAACAAAATGCATCGCTGACTCGTTGGCACAAACAGCACCTCTACATTTCCTGCAGAGTGAAGGCCTCCATGTGCTACACCACGTGAGAGCAGTCAGACGGAGATTGTTTCACCATAACCCTTGTGCACATTTCCTGGAAGAGCTTTATGGCACAACTGTCACACACACACACATTCACACATACAGAGAAAATTAGGGGAACTACAGGTACAAAATGTGTCATCACATGTGGCTGTGGACACCATATAACAAGCAGGAAACTGTTGTGGAAATGAGAGGAAGAATCTGGCAGAGTTGCTCTTCCCATTCCCTGATGCTGCTGTGGAGAGGCAGTGAGATGGCTGCATGGAGGGGGCGACAGTCCCTGTCTATGATTAGTGGCCATGAGAATGCTAGAGAGGAAGGGAAGAAGGGAGGGGGGGTTGGGTTGGTGGTTGGGGGATACGGGGCGGGCTCACTGAAGGAAGAGGAAGAGGAGGAGGAGGGGTGCCCTCCTGCCTGTTCACAATTGGAGGCAGCAGGGAGGGAAGCAGCATCTGTATGAGGCGAGAGAAGGAACCTGCATGGAATGGAGGAGCGTTAGAGCAGCACTGTCGCTGTCGTCAAGACTCCCACCGCCTGCACCACCACTCTGGATCGTGTGTTAATGGAATTGACTCAGAGCAGGTATGTATACAGCATTTGCATGCTTACTGTGTGAAATGAATTGCCTTAAAGAGGGTCAGGTTAGCAAGGTGAGAGAAGGGTGCATTCTTGGCTTGAGCAGGATGCTGTTTATAAAAGGTGTGTAATTAATGCAGTTTGTTATTTAGTATGAACGACATCAGGATGTGGTTTTCTTTTGCTTTACACAGCCTGTTCACTGAAATCTGTAACTGTAGCTTTACCAAAAGAGAACAGGCTGCCTTGGGATTTGAACCCTAAACCAAAGGCATGATTAAAGCCATGCTCTAATAGCTATGCTGTTTTGCCCAGTGTACACAAAAGCTACTGTTTTTAATAACCACTGTTCTTGATGTTTATTTTCCAGCTCTGTGATGCCAGAGGGACCAGCTGTGTGGATCCAGTGCCACCTCTGATATGATGCTAAGAGCAGGAGGGGCAGCCACCTCTCTTGCACTGCTGCTGCTGCTGCCGCTGCTGTGCTGCTGCCACCTGTGCCACTCGCTGCGTAAGTTTCTTAAGGACCGGGAATGCCTCATCAAATTACCTAGGTGGAATGTAATAGCCTCAGTATGACAGATGGCATAATCAAAGATAAGATGGACTCAAGCGCATATGTAGAAGCAGAGAAAGAGGTAGAAATTGGCAGATGGTCGGTGAAGAGAGCTTGCCAAGTTAGAGCTAAACAAAAAGTATTGGTGTCAGTGTGACCACTTATCTTCTCATATCAAATTTTACAGTTTGATTTTCATTTTTTGGAAATTGATTTTAGCTGCACGGAAGCCATGATAACTGCGCTCAGAATAGTGCACCAAAAGTAAGAAAACTATCCAGCTATTGAATAAACAGTACGTTTCTAATAGCTAATAAGTGAAAGACAGCTGAGGAATTTAATTCAGCATCCACAATTTCTCCTTAAGTCCAGAAAGCCATTAACCAAAAACTTATAAGGAGGAAAAAGTTGGACCTCATCCTTTTAATTGTATGGGGATTTACCATTCGTTTTCCATGCTATATAATGCAGAATCAATAACACAGAGAAAGGAAATGGTGCAGAATGATGGGAAAGATTCCCATGGTAAGCATTCACTTCACTGCATAATTCCGCACAGTTGTGAGACAGCAGCATTGTTCATGTTAGAGTGAAAAGTAGTGTGTATTAACAAAATAACATCACAGCACTTGAGGCTGACGTGAGACGTCTATATTTGCTTGGTTTTAAGGCACTTCCGTATAATGAAGGGTCAAGTCTTATATATATCTGAGCTTTCAGAAAAGGCTAACTTTTGCATATTTGGTGCAACATGTAATCTTAGTTTGGTCTCACCGTAATCCTGCCATCTGTCTACATCCATTGCATATTATATGTTTCATTTATATTTAATTGCTGTTTGTTAATTACTGCAGATAGCAGCAAATATTGACTCAGGTCTCCTTGAAAATGCAGAAATGAGTTAACATTAAATATTAATTTTACTATGAGGCGTAAATCAGCATTTTCTTTACCTTATAGCAAATACATGATCTTATTTCTATAAATATTTATACACACTCTACACATTACATTTAACAGATAAAACAGCTAAACAGATTCATGTAAAATCCAGCAGACTCTGCAGCTTGCTTTGAAGTCGAGAAAGATGCTGGTGATAGTGGGTACACAGAGAAAAGATGATAAATTTGCTTATCACACAGTCATTGATTGAGGGTGTTGCAGCCTTGTCTTTATTGATCTGCACACACTGAGAGGGTGACACCATACATTTGTGGTCAGTCTTGTGGTAGATTTCAAGCCACATTCTCCATCCATAAATTGAGTTTATAACTGGGTTGGTGAATGATTTAAAGGGCAGGATGAAATGAAATGTGTGTAATTCAGAGTGTAATCAATATGTTCTACACTGTAGCGGAGCCATGCTTCAGAAAAACAATGCACCAGATTGACTGGGATTAAAACAGCGTCACTGCTATATAAAACTGCACTTCATATATTTGAAAGGGCAATGTTTTATTAAAATCAGCACTTTGTTACATGTCAGTCCAAGAAATATCCTAACTATTCCTCTATCGCTAAATAATGTTTTGACGTTTTGCTCTTGACCTTTTTGACATATCAACGCAATGTCCCATTTAAAGTACCCTTTATTTACCTTTTATTACATTTACATGTATTCTCCAAAGACCCAGTGGTAAGCAGTGATTTCATAATGATGACCCTTGAACTGAGGGTGCCTGCATTATTTAGTCACCGACTGTATGAGTCACGTGCAAAACAGATAACTAGGCACATCAGTTTCTTACTGTGATAATAGAGGAAGGACATG